TTTTCCTATAAAGTCATTAAAGATAAGGATGATCACTTATTTATTTTTGCTATCAACCAATCTCAACACCAACTATAGCTCCCTTTGTACATGGCAATATCTATCTATATCTATCTATACATCTATATCTATATAGAACTATCTATATCTATCTATCTATCTATCTATCTATCTATCTATCATTCATTCATAAGGTCTTTTGCACTTCCTAACTCCATGAAGAATGGAGCAATGCCCATTCCTCTGTTCTCTTCTTTGCATATATTTATCAGCAAACATACACTAATGCACTAATCATGGCTACAGTTTTATATTCCTATGGCATCTAAGACACATCTCACCTCTTCAGCTCATAACACTTTTGTAAACTAAGACTAGAGATGCTGTGGGATCAGCTCCATGCTCTCCTGTATATGGAGGCAGACTCCCTTTATGGAACTGTACACCAACTAAAGGGAGCCTTTCCCAGGAATCATCTGTCTCTCTATGTCTCCTGGGGCTTCAGACAGATCCCAATTCCTGGGCAACTTCAGAGAGCCCAACCTTCTCCAGGTAAAGTTTATGTTCACATTTCCAGATTAACTTGCATGTCTCTCTGGACTTGGGAAAGGGAGGTTGTTCTTAGCCTGAACAAAAGGGACTTCATGCCTGACTTGTTCCCCAGGGAGAACAAACAAGGCCATGTTTGCCCTTACTAGAGCACTTTTACAAGCTGAAAAGGATGGGCGTATTAATCTATTTCCTGTTTAGAGTGATGGGGAGCCCAGCTGGGGTGGTTACCAGGCTCACAAAGAAACAGGCAAAATTTTGGCAAGGCTTTGGGAGACCTAGCAACAAAAACCACTTCCCCCACCCCCTTTCACATCCACTTGAAATGCAGGTTGCTTCAAAGCAGCATGAGATCCCTGGCAACTTCTTGTGCCCTTTCAGTAAATCTCTTCTATGAAGGGAGATGACTCAGTCTCCTTTGCCCTCAAAACCAGAGTCAACTCTGGCTACCAGCAGTCATGGCTTCACAAAAGAACAACTTACCCCAGGTCCCCTCCCTGACTCCAATCAGTCTCCTTGTTGCTTCGAATGGCATCAAAGAGGGTGTGTGGACTGTGTTTAATTACCACTGCCCTTCTGGAAATACCTTGTTGATGCTGTTTGTGTGGAAATGTGCTCATTTACAAACGGGCACCTCTACTTGCCAAGTAGAAGAGGCCAGTGCAAATGATAGAATTCTTCTTCTTTTACATTGAATAAACTTTTTTTTTTTAATTGGGCAGATCTGCTCTGGCCAATAATGAACTGGCTCTGCTGACTCTCAGTAATTTGTTAATTAAATTGGGAACTGCTTGCTTTCTGTAGTTCAGTAGAAAGGATTTATAAATTGAGTGTGTGTGTATGTGTGTGTGTGTGTGTGTGTGTGTGTGCATGTGTGTGTGTGTGTGTGTGTGTGTGTGTGTGTGTGTGTGTATTTCTCCTTTTATAAAATGTGTCTGTTTACTCCTTGTATTGGCCTGTAAACCCATCGTTAGATGGAATGGAGCAAGAGTGCTGATGGAAAATTGAGACTCAGAGACACATTTCATTGCTTGATGGATGGGAGAAGTGACCCAGCCATGTTGTCTAATTTTTCTCAGAAGGAGGAGGGATTGCACATCTGCTCAGAAGAAATAAATCACAGGGTCAGGGGCCAGAGGTCATTAGTCTATAAAGCTTTATGACCTGCATCTGACAGTTATTTCTCTTGGATGGAAAAGCAAGAGATAGAGAACTGTGCTTACTTATTCTCTTTCTTATGTCCTATCTCTCTCTGAGTTTAATTTTCTTGTTATACTCAATCCCCAAACAGTGCTTTGTCAGCATTTCTATTATTTACCCTTCCCTATCTTACTCCTTTTTACTATATGTTCCAGCAACCTATTTACCTCTTCTCAGTCATGTTATTACTGTTTTGTTTGTTTCAGTCAGCTCTTCACCCTTCTCTAGGAACTTAATGGTAGCGACACTTTGCTTATTGACAAAGTCTTGCCTCCTTGAAGAAATGCTAAATTAAATTATAGAGATAAGCTCATTGGTGTTGTTTTGTTTTTTATTTTTTTCTTAATTCCATATTTATTTTTATATTCCTACATTTTACATTGGCTAAATGGAGGGATATAGATGGAAGGGAAACAATAGCTATACTAATTTCACATTTATTTCCAATTCTTGCTTTCTATTTTATTCAGAACTGTAAAAGATTTAAATAAAAACTAGGCTAAAATATAGATTTCTCAGAAAATTTAAGAATAAAATGAATCTCAGCACATAAGTCTCTGTAATTTGGAAGAACATATTTTTGAATATTAGTGGAAAGATGTCCATTTCAGTTGTTCAAGCAACGAAAGGAATAAGAATGAAATAAATAGTAAAGCAGGAGAACTGAACAAACCTCCCACATACTTAAAAATAAATTAGTCTGGAAGGGAAGTAAAGGAGACCAGAGGCAGAGAGAATGTTACAGAATGAATTTGGGATGAATCACGTGCCCCTCCACATCTATCACAACCCTCATAAGCTGTTAGTTTACCACTATGACACCTTAGCTAGACTGAAAGCTCCTTTGAGGAAGCTCTGTGCCTTGTATGTTCTGTGTTTAGTCTCCAGCACAATTCCTGACATGTGAATCCTCATTAAGTGTGTTCCCAATGAGTCAGTGGCTGAATGAAATTATCAAGTACTTAGGATAATGGGGCTCAGATTGCAGGGTTGTCTTGTCATCACTGATCTGCTCTCCTCTATGGAGCTGTAGCCCATGTTATATTTCCTGTGTGCCATAGCCTGAGTCTGGAGTTCTCTCTTGTCCAGCAGGAGAGCGGATGCAGAATTGAATATGAGAGAGGCTAATGTCCAGGAGGAGACAAGAACCCTGAACAGGGGTTTTGTCTCTGTATTTATTGAGCTCACAAGATATTACTCACGTGGTGAACATGAAAAAAACAAGATCTTACACACATGGATGTGGAGTAAACAATCAGACAGTAATCATTAACATGTGTAAGAAGCAAAGGGTCTGGGGGAGAGGGGTCTAGTGGAAGTTGTGATCAAGGTACATTGGCGCCAGACGGAAAGTGATTTCCTGTAGGTGATGTAACAAGTTTCTCGTGATCCCATTACAACATCTAGTCAGCTAACCTCAGGTGCTTTTGCCCCATGGTGGTGGCTTTCCACCCTAAGGTTTTTTCTAGCCCATTTATGTAAGTAGAACCTATTTCCTCATACTTGTGGTCCTCCCTGTGTGCTGTGGTTTCTTACTTCACATTTTGCTCGCTGTTCCTTCTGGCTGCAGCAGACCTCTCTCTCTACCTACCCTCGCCTACATGTCCTGTTGAGTGTTCAGTTTAGGTGACCTTCTTTAGGGAACTGGGTGACGTGTTACAAAACATAACATGCATTCAACTCTATTGGGCTTGTGTATTTGACTTGTCTATACCTCTCTCTAGACTAAAAGCTTCTTGCAGGTAAAAACAAATATCTTACATATTTCTGTATTCCCAGTGTCTAGCCCAGGGCATAAGGCTGAGTAGAAGCTCAATAATGTGTTTGTTGAATTAAAATGAATGAATGAACAACAACAACAATGAAAAGGAATGGAAAGGAGAGGGAAACAATAATGGTGAGAAGGAATGGACTATTGGAAACAGCTCATCTCACTTCCTTTGAGAATACAAAGTATAATCTTATCAGAAAATTGCATTGATTTTGTTCTAGTGCCATCTTACTGAACCATCTGATTGGAAATGTCTGCTGTTCTGGAAAAATGAAAGTAAGGAATAAGGCTGCTTAGGCTACGGTGTTCAGTTGGACTGCAAATGACTAGAATGCATATGACAAGCAGTGTACCTAGGCATTTGCCCCGGCCACGAATGGAAAGCAATTTGGTGATTGTCCCACTCTTAACTGATGGAACTTATTTCCCACTGAATTCTAACACATTCCTTCTCTGGTTAGGTCTGTATTTTTATTGACTCCATGAAAAACCTTATTCATGTCTACTTCACTGCCTTTTCTCACTACGTTTCTTTCTTTCTTTTTTTTTTCCCTTTTCTCTCCCCCTTCGTTATTACGAAAAAATCTGATCATTCAAGAATCAATTCAAGTTTCTCTGCCTCCAGGCTAATTTAAGACTTCCAAACTAATCTAAGCCTGTCATCTGTAGAACACCTGCAATATTCCTACCTGCATTATGACATGCAATATGGGATATCATTATGAGTAACACCACGTTGCCACTGCTTTATCTGCTCACTTTGCCTCCCAACTAGAATACAGACTTCAGTACAGGAATTATTATTCAGACTTTTTGTAATTCTTCAAATCACTGGCCTGATAACATGTTATTAATTCAATGAATACTTTCTGATTGAGGAGAATGGGTTTGCAGATAACTTTTAAATATATATGTTTATAAAATAACATGGTTCTCAGACAACTTTCTGATTGTCCTCCCCAGATTTTTGCCTTGTCATAAAATTTAGGGCATCCTGGTTCTATAATTTTATAGACATATAGACACACAGATATAAATCTAGAGATGTAGAAATAGCTATTTCCCTGTTTTATTGGAAACTTCATATTCAAGAGTTTCCTGTACTGGCAAGCTTTTCTCTTATTCAATCCTAAAAGGGTATGATAAATAGTTGTTTACTGCCCTTTGAATAATAGACTGTCACAAATGCTACTTCTGGTTTTGTCCTTTCTCAGCTAAACAACCTTAGCCCCTTTAGACATTTAAATGCCACGAACAGATGCTCAATAATATTACTTGGTGGCTGGGAATAATTTATAGTGCTTATTTATGGAAGTAGATGAAAATAGAAGCATTATATATATTTAAAGCTTTTCTTTCACATATGGCATGCTTTACAGGGAGTGAGAATTTGGATGAATGGATAGATGAATGCAACTAATATTCGCATTTCAGTCTCATCTAAAAAGAGGGGAAACATATGAAACATCAGAATGGAAGCTAAAATGCACAAGATCCTATTTTACTATTAACTCAGACCTTTCTTATGCCAGATGGTGTCAGAGGAAAGCTTTTGTTTTCTTCTTGATGGGCATCTCCTTTGAATTTTGCTAGCGAGACACATTTCCTCTCTTCTCTTGTATTCACAAACACCGTGGCCTTCATTCATGAACCTCTTAGATGTAGTAGCTGGTTTGGGATTTCTAGGCATTGTGTGCCCTTCTGATTGATTTCTGGGAGGGGAAATTATGCTTTTTGAGCCAGTAAAATCTTCAAGGATTTGGATAATTATACATGCTACCATAATACCCTACAGTAGTACTTACCACACTAAAATGCCATTTATCTACTTTCCTATCTCTCTGAAACCCATACTGCACACACCCGGTTATCAGGAACTTTCTGATTTATCTTTCTATTCTTATCTGGCATACAGCACATGCTTACGAAATATTTCTTGAGAACACGAACAAATGAAGACCAGCAAATTCAAATCTACTTAGATATTTAAAGGAAGCATTTATACTTCCTGGAATCATATGGGACAGAGGGAACATTTATTATAAATAGATGCCTATGCTGTGTCTGGAGCACAGCATATGTTACCTCATTTAATCCTTTCAAGAAATTCATGAGCTATTCTCTTATTTGCTAGCATTTGTCAGTTATTTACCTAGGTGACATACACTGCTTTATCTTTTAAAACATATCATTTAATATTTTTAATGATCCTATGAGGCAGGTATTACTATGACCATTATTAAAATAAGGAAGTTGATGGGGCGCCTGGGTGGCGCAGTCGGTTAAGCGTCCGACTTCAGCCAGGTCACGATCTCGCGGTCCGTGAGTTCGAGCCCCACGTCAGGCTCTGGGCTGATGGCTCGGAGCCTGGAGCCTGTTTCCGATTCTGTGTCTCCCTCTCTCTCTGCCCCTCCCCCGTTCATGCTCTGTCTCTCTCTGTCCCAAAAATAAATTAAAAAAAAAGTTGAAAAAAAAAAATAAAATAAAATAAGGAAGTTGAGGCTTAAAGAATATATGAAGGATTTCAATCCAGGATCTAATTCCCAAACCTAAATATTTCCTACCTTGCCATAATGACTACAATACAAAGTGATTGTGAATATAGGTTATTTGTGTGACTTTGGTCGCTCTCTTTGCTTTTCCTCTAATATCTGTATCTAACACTTTCTCCCTGTGTAGCCTGCATTAACTCCCTTCTAGACAGAGGACCTTACTACTCACTAGCAAATATAGAGAAAACTACTGGACATTGTGTAGCCTGGTAGCAAGTCTATAAATATATTCCTTTTACTAACAATCCTCGTGCATCAATTGTGATCAGATTGTTACACAAAGTTACATTTTAGAATGCTTAGCTACTTTTGCCCAAGGACCTGCAGCTTTTCCCAGCAGGGACCCATGGATCTCACAATTGCTCAAAATTTCATGAGTGGTCCAGTTACATGTAGAAGGTACTCCAAGAGATAAGTATGAGACCTTCATCAGTAGAATAATTTTAATCATAGCTTTACTAAATTCTAACTGGACCCACTGGACTTAATTTAAGGAGTCACAGTGAACTAATTCCAATGTAGTGTTACGTCTAAAATATCAGCACAATGTTGCATGAAAACAAAAATGTGTGTGTGTGTGTGTGTGTGTGTGTGTGTGTGTGTGTGTCTGGTATGTTTTATGTGAATAGTGGGGTAGGGGAAGGGATGTGGGATCAGAGCGGTGGACTGGAAACATTATTTTAATCTTGCCTTCATACCATCAGAGAAAGGTCTTGGTGCTGCCCTTTAAGAAAGACATAAGAGTAGATAAAGGGGAGAGTAACAAAATAAAAGTAAGAGAAACAGGTTGTCATACTAACAAAACCAGATTCTGAGATGGAAAGAAACTTAGGGGTTAGCTACTACAACTTTCTAACCCACATGGAATGCCATTTCCATCATCATCAGGAAGTATCAACTATCCTCAAAAGGCTAGATCAGAAGATTATTCTCATTTTGCAAAGACGGAGACCAAGGGGAAAGGCATAAAAACTATTAACAAGAGAATGGTATGGATAGAGTAAACACAGATTCAGTCACCTAATAGCAGAATATCTGACTTAAAGTGACTTCTTGAACCCAAGAGATAGGTGTGTGCTTGTGACATTTAGATTGGCAGGTATGGAATGTGAATCAAACTTCTTGTCATGAGACCTGGACTTATTTGTTATTTATTTATTTAAACTTTGTTTTAAGTTTTATTTATTTATTTATATTGAGAGAGAGAGAGAAAGAGAGAGAGAGAGAGAGAGAGAGAGAGAGAGAGAGAGAGAGAGAATGAATGAGCAGGGGAGGGGCAGAGAGAGGGAGAGAGAGAGGGAGAGAGAGAATCCCAAACAGGCTCCACACTGTCAGTGTGGTGCCTGACATGCGGCTCAAACTCATAAACCATGAGATCTTGACCTGAGCCCAAATCAAGACTTGGCTGCTTAAGTGACTGAGCCACCCAGGTGCCCCATGAGACCTGGATTTAAATCCAGGCTCCGTTATTAGCTAGCTATGTAGCACTGAGCTGTACATGTGACTTCCCATTTAGAAAATGAAGGGGTAGAACTCAATGATTCCAAATTCATTTCCAGCAACAAATTACATAATCTTAAAGAAAATATTTACTTCTGACAGTGGACCAGAAATTACCCTAAGGTCATATTGACTAAAAATAAGAACAGTTTTTAGGAATGTGGATCTCAAGCTATTATATTTTCCTCTACTAAAAATTATGTCATTATTGTGTTTTCCCCCTAGGCCTACTCAACATCTTCTCTAAGCCCTGTATTTCTCTTTATAAGATCAACTTGCTTATTCCAGGACCCTCCCACAGACTCATTGTTGGGTTAGCATTCACTAAGATAATACCAAAGCCATTGCATACCTTGTATAGGTTATGCACTGCACAAGAGCACCCACTCAAAGTAGCAAGTGGGGGCTGCAAACAGTGTGCCTCTGTGTGCATCTACCCAAAAGCAAGCATACCTTTTTCTAATTCACTCTAAGGTGCAGTATGGGCTTTGGGTGTTCTGGGAGGTGGGATTCACCCATTGGTTCCACAATCTGAACCTGATCAGGCCTGAAACTATGAACACTATGAACATCAACACTATGAACATCCATACCCCAATGCTCAACATGTATTAAAAAACTAATTACAAGGAACTTTCTCTGTGGGGCTAAAGAGGGGGCTCAAAAAGGAATGATACATATCCGTTCCACTTTAGGGGCAAAACATTCTAGGCAGTTCAGATTACACTTTTGCATCCACCTATTTTGTTGCAATACAGCACATTATCATGAGGGCACACATTTTTTAAACAAAAGTTATTGACAGAAATTTCCTCAGGGCTAACTTGCACTGAATCCCTGCTGAATGATCTCAAAGGACTAACACAAATTACATACATTGCATTAGGCCTGGGTATGCATACTACAGTCAGAAGCATATTCACAGGAAAATCTCATTGAAGCACTTGTTGATATTACTTCTCCCTCATGAAGAATTTGATACATTTCTGTAGATACTCAGCAACCTATCTGTGGTTTGGGGGGCAAATGTGGTGTGTTAGGTTTCCCTAGAATTTCACAGAAAATGCAAATTGTCCAAGCTCCCTTCCAAATCAAATCAGACTGAAAATGGCTCCCATAGCTCTCCCTTCAACCATAAGATGTTCCCATTAGTGTCAATTAATGCTGAGACCTTGGCATTCTGTATGCATGATTCATTAGTGAGAACCCTCATTTACAGCCGAGAAAGCAATGCAATGGAACAGCTGTAGTAATTTCTCACTTCCTGTACACAGACCCATGCCCTGTAAGCTGCTGACCTCTCACCATAGAGAAGCTCCCCTCCCTCTGGCCTATGACAGTGTGTGCTCCAGGGACAGTGGACAATGGCCACAATGATGGCGAAATCCTGCCCAATATTGCAGCTTCCATGCTTACTTGAGACCAAATGTGAGAGAGACTGTGACTTTAACCCTCCCTCCTCAAATGAAATTCCTAATTCAATTAAGGATGGTACAGAGAAGCCGAGACCTCTATTACTCTGCAGCACATTGATTTTCTACAAGGTACCCACTTCATCGACACCCTCTAAATCTGTAGAATATCCTGCAAGTCTTATTATTAACATGACTCCAGTAATCAAAATGGCTCAACTAATTTATGACTCTGCTCTGCATCAGAGATGCTGGTTTTTACAATCTCTATCTACACGTGTTTAATTTTGCCTGAATATTTTATTGGTATGACTTCAGATACGATAGTAATTTATTAAGTGGTAACAGATAAGTCACCATTTTTTCTTTTCCTATCCAGCTGCTTCTTTCCTATTCTCCAGGTAAACAAAAGTACAAACAAGAAGAGGCTGGGATGCTGAGTGACAGTCTTTCAAACCTGCCCGTCAGAAGAGTAGGGAGAGTCCCCCCAAGTCTCAGAAGCCAAGCAACAGTAACGCTCTTCAAAATGAGAAAGGGGCTCTCTCTGCCTTTGAGGGAAAAACACTCAAGACGCAGCAATCTCTTTCATCCATGAACTTGGCAAGCATCTTTCTGCCTATTCCTACTCTTCCTGCTCCTAGAAGAAAGCAATGAGACACTCAGCCCTGCTTTGCTTAAAGCAGAATTAAATTCTAAACAAAAAATATTTGGGTTTTAATTTTCATTTTCATTTATTTCAAGTGGGAGTCGGGAAATATAATTTTGTGCTTCCTACAAACAGTAGTGTAAGTAACTTTGAAGGGGGACATGTTTATGCCATTTAGGAGAATCAATTGTTGTTCAAGCACCGTCAAGTCTTTTAGAAATAGTACATTTGATCAATATCCCAGCAGAGCTATTAACAAGCATGTGACCTCAGACAAACCCCTAAACCTCTATAGGCCTCAGTCTGCTCATCTGTAAAATGAGAGCTTTAGATTCGATTTTCTCTATGGATCCTTATATAGCTCTAGGAGACCATGATTCTATATGTTAATTGCAAATGATTCTTACCTGGGTGATAAAAATCAGTGGCCCAAAATACTCTTGGAATGAAGGCTGTCTTCAGCTCGTTTTTTTTTTTTTTTCTCCTGGACAAAGATGGAAATAGCAATCATTACCTGGGGCCTTGGGGGCTACTTGCTTGTAGTCAGGCTTCCCAAAAAGTTGAGATGCATTAATTGGCTATCTTCTGGGTCTAAATCTGCTTCTAAATTGATTGGGGATTTTACATTTTCCCTATGAGATACAGCAATGGCTAGGTACTGAAAAGAAGTTATAGTTAAACAAGAAGATATAGTTCTGCTCCCTGGAGGGCTCTAACTAGAACAAGCCTCAGCCCTCCTCAAGCCTCTGCTAATTTTCTAGAGGATAGAGAGACCAAAAATTACCCAGGTGAGTTGGACATTTCCGATAAGTTTAAATAAACTAGGGCAGAATTTCATATACGTCATTGAGTCCAGATGATGCTAAGTAAACTGTATTAACTATTAAGATGTATCATTAACCATTTGTACTCAGTACAGCTGAAGTTAGCCATGAGCCTATATACTTTTTATGTTGGCAACTTGTCGTTTATTTTAAATATATATTAATACCTGGAAGGATTCAGTGGCTAGAATACTTTTTATTTTCTATAAGGCTGTGTAGTCAGATTAAGCAAAGGTTAATAATCTCAGTTTGTTCTTTTCAGAGTGAAGCAAAAGACCATGAGCTTGTGGACAGAAGCTTCACAGGGTTAAGTGAGTCCTTAAAAACTTCTCTTGCAGAAGATGATGGAATTTTGGCTTTATTCCCTCAATGGCTGTATCTGTGGAATAAGTGCGATAATTTCATTTCTTGTGCAAACTATTCAGCTAACCCTTCATACAGAATTATAGCTCACATTAAAAATGTGTACTGTTTCCCAGAGCCTTTTCCTCTCTTGTTTTAATATGAAACAATTGAGAGTTATATCAGCGCATTGGGAAAGAATTATGATCCTTGTCAACATCCTTAGGGGGCCTGATTAATAGAAGAACCACTTCTTCCTGACTAATGACAGTACAGGCTGCAGAAGCCTTCCCCAAACAATTGTGTAATTCAAGCTCTTTGTATCTAGTGTGTTTTTGACAGACTGGTCAATACTGCCTGCTGAAGAAAAGTATTTCTCTCAATTTCAATCACAAAGTAACCTCTAAGGAAGTTCTCAAGTCTGATAAGTAGGCTAGACTTAAAACATCAGACTCACCTGTGACACTCTTGCCTCAATAGAGATGTTGAATACCAAAGAGGAAGCTTAAACAAGGGAATCTGGAGTATGAATGACAGCAAAAGGTCATGTATTGTAGCACAGGAAGACAGCCAGGTGAATAGTAAAAATCTTAAGTTCTTTTACATGATATAATACAGGAAATAATAAAAGTTATCATGTATTGAATATTTACCAAAGTCACAAAATCTTCTAAGTGCTTTTAATATATTAACTAATTTAATTCCTGAAATAAACCTTATAAGGTAGTTGATAGGACTATAATATGTAAAAAGTTTTCTCTCATAATTATTTTACTCGATGTTGTTTTGCTTGCATTTTCCTACATCTTTTTTTTTTTTAATTTGATTTTTAAAAGCTAATGACATGCTATCATTTTGGTAATTTGTGACTCTGTTAATTCATTCCAATATTGCAGACTTGGCTTAGAAATTCTCCTTTTTAAAGAAAGAGCAGAGAAAATTTAGAAGATATAGCAGAGGATAGGTAAGTGATGAGTACAAATTTTGTTGCATGGTTTCTCAGTGGTTTCAATTGTATCAGTGTTTTTTCTTCGATAGATCTTCAGTTATGTTTGTGATGGCGCCACAATCGCACCTGTTATGGGCGTATTGTGCCCCCTACCCTCACCAAAATTACTCTGTTGAAGTGTTAACCCTCAACCTCAGGATATGACTATATATGGAGACAGGGTCTTCAAAGATGTGACTCAGTTAAAGAGGCCCTGAGGGTGGGCCCTAATCCAATCTGACTGATATCCTTATAAGAAGAAATTTGAACATGGAGGCAGACCCCAAAGGCACATGAACCTACACGGAAGAAAAACCATGGGAAGACGCAGTGAGTGGCCATCTGCAAGCCAAAGAGCATTACTGCGGAAGAAACAAAGCCTGCTGGCACTTTGATCTCAGACTTCCAGCCTCTAGTACTGTTGGAAAATAAGTTTCAGTTGTTTAAGCTCCCCAGTCTGTGGTACCGTTATGCAGCCCAAACAGACTAATACAGTGCCAGGGAACAAAAATACAGGTGTTAACTATTTTCAACTTAGCCATTTCCCCTTTACTCGGCTCAAATAAATTTGCACTGAGGATAAAAATAGGTTTTAATAAGCCCTTATGACACGTATCTTGAAAGTACTCAAAGTTACAGACCTAAACCCTATTTCCATACATAACTTTACCCTGGTTATTTAGTAACAAGGCTGAAAGCCCATGGGGAGTGTCTAGCAGAAGAAAGGTGATTTTTACAGACCTGTCTACATGGCATGCAGTGTTGTTTAATCCTAGGAACAACTGGACATTGTAGCATCCCATGGCCATGGACACCTTTGGGTCCATCCATAGTGTAGCTCAGGGCAGTGACAGCATGAAGAATAACCTTTCAATAGCCCTGCCTTTCTATGGCAGAGATGGATCTTGAGGCAAGTTCTCCTGATGCCCATGCCCACTGAAAAAAAAATTTTTTTTCCAACGCACAGGCTTAAACAATTTTAGAAAACTCTGGCATTTGGGTATTTACTAAATATAATATTTAGTGCACTGGGGATCTGAAATAGTATTGACACTTAATTGAACTTAATTTGTTTTCTTCTAAAGGGCTCCAAAGCCCAAAATTACTGAAATGTGTCATCTTGCCACATTATTATGCTGGATAGTCCTTATGCATCCTGGAAAATGAAGCCTATTTTTATTTTTATTTTTTTAATTTTTTTTTTCAACGTTTATTTATTTTTGGGACAGAGAGAGACAGAGCATGAACGGGGGAGGGGCAGAGAGAGTGGGAGACACAGAATCGGAAACAGGCTCCAGGCTCTGAGCCATCAGCCCAGAGCCTGACGTGGGGCTCGAACTCCCGGACCGCGAGATCGTGACCTGGCTGAAGTCGGACGCTTAACCGACTGCGCCACCCAGGCGCCCCGAGGCCTATTTTTAAATAGTATCTTTTAAATATTTGACACAACCCTTTATGACAGTGACTTGATTAAAAACTCACAAGAGATAAAAGCATATGCTATCATTTTTAAGCACAGAAGAGATACAGTCAATCTCATGTTCGCACACACACACACACACACTCACACATACACATTCCCTCAGACACCATGGTTGGTTACCCATTGGGGAGTTTAATCACTTTCAACATTGAGAAATATTTTCTTATATAGCTGATCTTAATCTCCAATGCAGCAGTTTATCTATTTCTTCCTTTTAGGTCCTCAGTACAAAGAAGGAACAGCTGGTCCCAATTCCTTTTATGTCAGGTTTTCACATACTGGGGGACTTAAAGTGGTGAAATAGGTCATGCCTGTCGATTACAATAGCCGACTTGAATTTTATATAACCTTGATTCGTTTAGCTCCCTATACCTGGGAAATAGAGAAGAGGGGAATAGCTGGTGTTTGGCAGGATTTCATACATTGCCCATAATCATCTCTTTCAACCAAAATTTGTCCTCATCAGATTTGTCCTAATGCTGTAGTAAAATGTCTAGGGAAAAACACATTGATCAAATCTTGTCTGCTGTGATTAAAGAAAACTTGTGAAAAGGAGATGATCGAGTCTCTTGGACTCTTCCTGTTTTATGTTTTGTTAAATATGTGTTAAACACTTGCTAAACACATTTAGTTAAACATTAGTGACCCTCATGATTCTTGTGATTGTGAGAGCTTAGTTAGACCAGCCCTCTAGTTGGTAACAATTATCACACTTAAAATTGGTCAAACACTATTCTGGATGTTTCTTGAGGGTGCTTTTGGTTGAGATTAATAATGAAATCTGTAGAATGAGTGAAGTAGATTGTCCTCCCTAATGTGTGTAGGCCTCATCCAATCAAGCGAAGGCTTGAACAGAACAAAAAGACTGACCATCCCCTGAATAAGATAGAATTCTTCCTGCTAACTGCCTGCACACCTTAGCCATTTCCCTGCCTTCAGACTTTAACTTGAGCTCTCAAGCTCAAGATCTCAAGATCAAGTCTTGAGCCTGCTGCTCTTCAGAGAGGAACTACACCTTCAACTCTCTTGGTTCTCAGGCCTTTCACTTGGACTGGAACTAAGCCATTAGCTCTCCTGAGCTTCCACCTGACAATTTACACTCCAGATCTTGGGATTTACTTGTCTCTAGAATAGCATGCACCAGTTCCTTGTAATTATCACCAACTTGATTCCTGAACCAATGAATCCTGACTATGGGAGAAACAGCACCCTGTATTGATTATGTATGTGCAAAGCACATACAGCCTTCTGGAGAACCTTGCCCCATCCCTGCAGGGTATTGCCACCTAGCTGGTGCTGTAAACGAGCCTTCAACAGGCCATTCCACCATTATTTAAAGCCAGGCTGCTTTAGGATGATGGGGAACATGTAACATCAGTGTTTGGAGCATGGATCCACTCAGTAAATGGGCTGGAGTAACACTTAAAGGAGGAATATGTTGCCTCCAAAATCCAAAGGGGTCTGCTAGGTATTACGCTTTCTTGTTGTTGTTGTTGTTGTTGTTGTTGTTGTTGTTGTTGTTGTTGTTGGAGGGACCAGATGCAACAACTGTTTTTGTTTTGTTTTTGTTTTTGTTTTTTTTAAGAGGAAGAGAGAGATTGTATGAGTATGGGAGAGAGACAGAAAGAAAGAGAATCTCAAGCAGGCTCTGTGCTGAGTGCAGAGCCTGACACAGGGTTCAATCCCATGACCCTGTACTTGATCCCAGGACTCTGGGATCATGACCTGAGTGGAAATTAAGAGTCAGATGCTCAACCCACTGAGCCACTCAGGCGCTTCCAGATGCAACAACTTATCCTTCACGTTAAAAGGAATATCTCAACATGCTCCACAGCAAGAAATTCCACTGAGATATAAGGCCCCTAAATTTTTGTTGGGTTTATGCAACCTCTGACATGCAAATATCTTACCAATAAGTCTAGAGTCATGGCTACTTCTTCCCCACTCAGTCAAATCAATATAATGGACCAGTGTGATATCTCATGGAAGGGAAAAACAATCAAGATTCTTGTGAACTAAATTATGACCCACAGCTGAGAAGCTGGTATACCCCTGAGGTAGGACAGTAAGTGTATATTGCTGGCCTAGCCAGCTGAAAGCAAACTGCTTCTGATGGTCCTTACTAACTGGTATAATGTTAAAAAAGCATTTGCCAGATCATTAGCTACATGTCAGGTATTCGGGGATGTATTAATTTGTTCAAGAAATAAAACCACATCTGGTACAGCAGCTGTAATTGGAGTCACCATCTGATTAAGCTTACGACAATCTACAGTTATTCTCGAAAATGCATCTGTCTTCTGAACAGGCCAGCTAGGTGGGCTGAATGAGGGTGTGGTGGGAATTACCACCCCTATTCTAATGACGGAAGTAATCTCTGTAATCCTTTTAGGAATAGACTATTGCTTTCAGTTTACTATATTCCTAGGTAGAGGCATTCTAGTAGTTTCCACTTGATGTTTCCCAAGATAGCCCTCACTGGATGAGTTAGGGAACCAATGTGGGGATTTTGCCATCTGATGAGCATATCTATTCTAATTATGTATTCTGTAACTGGGGAAAAAACTGCAGAATGAATGAGTTCACAGACCCACTGGCCCCACTGTGAAATGGACCAGAGCTAAAATTCCATTGATCACCTGACCTCTGTAAGTTCTTACTCTGACTGGTAGATCTCAGTAGTGTTTTTGGTTCTTCTGGAATTAATGTCAGTTCAGAGCCAGTTTCCAGGCATCTCTAAAAGATCTGATTATGTCTTTTTCTCCAATGTACAGTTACACCCATGAGAGGCTGTAAGGGCCTCTGGAGAAGACTGGGAGAAAGAGTAACATCATAAATTTTTGGCAATGAACATAAATTCTTCCTTAAGGGAGCCTGGCCTCCCCTTCATTCAAGGTTCAAATCTGGGAATTGACTGAGGAGCCATGATTCTGTATTTTTATGATTCAGATTAGACTTTTCTTCACTTGACCTAGAACTTTTCTTCTTATACAGATCAAATAAGAACTTATTAGGCTTCTTATCTATTTTATTCTGTTAACACCATGATGGACTAGTCAACCCCATGAGTCTGCATGAGTCAGACTACTCTGATTGCTGCTTTGACCCTGCTGTCCATTAAGATAAGCACACTCACCTTTTTCTTTAGTGCTGCCACTTGGCTCCTGCCACCCCATGATCCAATTCGTCCCATTGCATTTAAGTTTCACAATTCAGCAACTGCAGTTTGGCATCGTAAGGTCTGGCCTACAGAGAAGATCAATCACAAAGCTCTTCAAAGATGCTGGGACTCCCTCCCAAATTTATTTCTCACAGTCTTGTAAAACATTGGTCTTCTAGACCCTCCCAGGGTGGATGAATATGTCTAAAATGATAAATTCTCTCTAACATTCCAATCTCCATGAGCTTTTGCATCTCTACCTCTACATTACACCAAGGCAAGTCTGACATTTCAAACTTGTTTGCTGTGGGAACTTTTTAGTCCACGTATCAGCCAACCAACCAACCAAACTGTTAGAGCACTTTCTAATTCCCTGAGATGCAGTATCAGATGCAGAATCTCTGCTTAGTGAGCCCATATCAGTAAATTCTGAGGGATCCAACTTTATGTTCCTTCTACCATTATCCGACACCCTTATTGTCCAGGCCCACACATGTTCTCCAATTTCTGTCTAAGTTAGAAAACTCAAGTAGTTCTTTTGGAACGTAGTGCACCTCCTCACAGGCCACACTTCGTACCTCACCTTTTAGGGATCTGTTGAGACTTTAGTGTTGTTAGGTCTAGAAGCAAAGAAGGGTGGTGGGGCCCATCTCAAGGAAAATTAGCATTATTTTGCATGGAAACTACCACAGGGGAGGCCATTACTGTTTCCTCAGGCAATGCAGAGTTAATCTCCTCATATTGGGTGGAAAGGCTACTTCCACTGGCAAAGAAAACTCCTTAGAATGTAGGGCTCAATGTCTCCAGCTTTATCAGAGTCTTCTCACATATCCCCATGATAACCCTTAGGATCCCATTCCTTCCCAATCGGTACCCTCACTTTAACAGAAGACACCCTTGTATTATAATCCAGCCAGTTGTAGGATGAGATTCTGGTTTTGATTCTCAGCAATTTCAGCCCTCAACTACAGGAGATAAGGATCTCCTTCAGGGAACACAGAGACTTTCAGGTCATTTGTACATTTGAGCTGGGAATTTGAATGCCTGACCTCATCCTTTTCTTTCACTGCATTGTCCAACAACATTAGGAACAGTAAGATAATCTCATTATATGTTAGTTTGATCAAAATGTTTAAAAGAATCGTATGCAAAGAGATCCAGATCCTTGCTTCTTATAAGTGGATAATTAGGAATATCCAGTGGTGGTATTTGTGTGTCTGTATTGCCAGATCACACCACGGACTATCGATGTTCTCGTCACTACTGGAAATAATCTTCAAATTTAATCCGGCTAGAGAGCGAATTCCAGAAACCCCAGAACCAATTTAGAAAACTCATCCATAAAACAATCTCTCTCTAGAACTACTGTCTCTGTACCAAGATCTCACTAACGAATTCTATGAAATACTTAGGAAAAAAATTAAATTATCTTAGTTAATAAAGGAGGAGAAAATATTTCCAAACTAATCTGATGAGGCCATCATAATCCTGATAAGAAAACCTGACAAAGGCATTACCAATTATAGAGCAATAACTCTCGTAAGTATAGTGTAAATATCCCTAACAAAACATTAGCAAAGCAAATGCAGTAATTTCTAAAAATGATAATGCACCGTGGCTAAGTGGTATTTATCCACGTAATTCACGAGTGTTTTAACATTTAAAGTTCAATCGGTGAAAGCTACTATAGTGTCAAATGAAGGAAGAAAAGCACTGTGATGTGTTGAACATCATTGTTTTAATATATAAAGCCAAAACATATGACTAATTGTAAAATCCATTCATGACATAGAAAAAGAAATTCTCTTAGCAAGCTTGGAATAAAAGAAATTGTCTTGGCAAGCTTGAAAAAAGACATCTATGAAAAATCTACAACTTGCATCATACCTAATATTACTAAGATTGGGGTTTATGTATGGTCTGCTCTTATCACTTCTAGTCAACATTTTATTGCAGGACTTGGCCATTGTAATAAGTGAAGAAAAAATAAAACACATATGGATTGGAATGGAATTAGTTAAATCATCCCTATTCAAAGACAACATGACTTCTTTTGGTAGGAAAAAAAAAAAAGAACTAAGGAATTAACAGCAATAAAATCTTCTCAAACCAATAAGTGAGGTTCATAATACCTGATGATACAAGATCAATGTACAAAAAACAATTATATTTATACATACTATGAGTCAACAATTGGAAAAGAAAATTTTAAAAATTCATTTTATAATTATATAAAAATACTCATAAAGTAAATAGGAATACATTTTTTAAGTCATGCAAAACTTCCATTTTTAAAACCACAGAACATTAATGGGAGAAATGGGGAGACATATCCATAGCTTGAGAAACCTAATATGTTTAAGAGTCCATTTCCCCAAAATTAATCTATAGGCTGAATCTAATCTCAATAAGAATCACAACATTCTTATCATTCTTATCACAACATTCTTATCTATTCTAGCTTATCGGTTAGATAAGCCTGTACTAAAATTTATATGAATATACAAAGGGCCTAGAATTTTCACAAACAATCTTGAAAAATAAAAAGAATAAATGTTGGAAGGCTTGCAGTACCAGACTTCAAGACTTATAAGTTATATTGATCAAGACAGTATGTCATTATCATAAAGATAGACAAATAAATCAATAGAATAGGAGAGAGGATCCAAATGAGCCTACATTAATATAGAAAATTGACTTGCAAGAAAGGTGACAAATAACTTCAATGAGGAAAGAACAGTCTTCTCAACAAATAGTCCCAGGACAAATAAATATTCATATGGAAACAAAAAATAATTCATACCATACACAAAAATTAGTTTGTACTGCACGATAGACCTAAACACAAAAATTAAATTGATAAGGCTTTTAGAAGACAGTGCACATGTGGCTCAGTTAGTTAAGCATCCAACTCTTGACTTCAGCTCAGGTCATGCTCTCACGGTTCATGAGTTTGAGTGGAGCCTGCTTGGGATTCTCTCTCCCTCTCTCTCTGCCCCTCCCCTGCTTGTGCTCTCTCTCTCTCTCCCCCCCTCCCCAGAATACATAAAAACAAACTAAAAAAAAAGACAATATGCAAGAATATTTTTATCATAATTAAAAACATTAAGAACATGGATAGGAAAGCTGTAATATCAGAGAAAAGTTTTCAAAAATATACATTCATAAAACATATTTGACAAAGGACTTGTATCCAGAATATATTCAGAGTTCCCATAACTCAATAACAAAATAAAAGTAAATCTAATAAAAATATGGGAAAAAATGTGAACAGACACATCACAAATTAAGTAATACAAATGGCCGATAAATATATAAAACGGTATTCAGCATGATTAAAATCAGCAAAATGCAAACAAAAATGACAAATTACTAAATATCCAGTAAAGTGGCTAAAAAGTAAAAGACTAACAACATTGATATTGTAAGGACCTGGAACAACCAGAGCTCTTATGCATTGCTGATAGGTATGTAAAGTGATATGACCACTTTGAAAAAAATTTGGTAGTTTCTTTTAAATTGCTTATTTTTGGACCCAGCATTCTACTTCTAGGTATTTATCTAAGAAAAATGAAAACATATGTCCGTACAAAGACTTGGACAAAAATGTTCATAGCAGCTTTAATCACAATAGTTCAAACCTGGAAATACTCCAAATGTACATCTGCAGAAAACTGGATTAAACATGCTACTGTATGGCCATAAAACAGAATACTACTCAATAATAATGATGAAAGACTTGTTAATTCACTCAACAACATGGCGATTCTCCCAAATAATGTGCAGAACGAAAGAAGCCAGATACAAATAGTACATGTGGAATGATTCCATTTATGCTAAGCTTTAGAATAGGCAAAATTTATCTAAAGTGAGAAGAGACTCATAATACTATTTGCCTAGATTGGGGTGAAGGGCGGATGAGTGGAATGGGACACTGAAAAACTTTCTGGGGAGATAAGAATGCCCCATATTATGATATAGGTGTGGAGTGTGGGTTACTCAGTTGTATCTATGTTTTAGGATTGTACATCTATGATTTGTATAAAGTTATATGCCATTTCACGCTTCTTGGTTCCAGTTACCTGAAGTCAATGGTGGTCAGGAGCAGATGTCCTCCTGACATATTGTCAGAAGGTCAGTAGTAGCCTAACGCTTCATCACAACATCTACACCATTCACCTCACTTCCTCTCATCATGTAGGCATTTAATCATCTCATATCATCAAAAGAGGAAAAGTGAATACAGTACAATAAGATATTTTAGGAGAGACAGAAAGAACACATTTGCAAACTCAGTATTTTGCTACAATTGTTCTATTCTATTATTAGTTATTATTAATCTGTTACTGTGCCTAGTTTATAAGTTAAACTTTATCATGGGGATGTATGCAGAGGAATAAAACATAGTATCGTGTTCAGTACTATCCACGGTTTCAGGCATCCACTGCAGGCCTTGCAAAGTATTCCCTGGGAATAAACGGGGAAATTACTGTATTTTGGTATGTAAAATTTACTTTAAAAAAAGTAATTAAAATACTACTACAATTAATAATAATAATCAACTGGTAGGTACAAAATGGATGAAAATATAGAGAAAATCAGAATGGAGGAATACTGATAACTGTAGAAGCCAAATATTAATTGGTTCATGGGGTGTCAGTATTCTATTTTATTTACTTGTTAATAAGTTTTAAATTTCCTATAATAAAAAGTTAATAATAATTTGATAGGCAATACAAACAGTAATCCTTATTATATTTTATGTAAAAAAAATCAAATTGCTTACATATTATATATAAAAATAAAAGATTTTTTTAAACTTAAAAAAACAATTGGAACACATCAAAAATAAGAAGACAAACAGCTCAATTCAACAGAGGTGAAAATTTGAACGGAAACTTCCCTAAAATACACAGATGGCCAGTAAGCATGTGAAAATATGGTCAACATTATTAGTCATTAGGGAAAAGGCACATTAAAATCACAATGATAAATCACTACACACCCATCAAAATAGCTATAGCAAAAAACATCAGCAATACCTAATGCTGACAAAGGTATTGAACAACTAATGGGAATGCAAAGTTAAACGTACACTTTTCAAACTCCTTAGCAATTTCATTCCTAGATATTGACACAAGGAAAACAGAAACACATGTCCACAGAAGGACTTGTAAAAGGATGTCCATAGCAGTTTTACTCCTAATAATTAAAAAACTGGATGGGGCGCCTGGGTGGCTCAGTCAGTTAAGTGTCCCACTTTGACTTAGGTCATGATCTCATGGTTCATGAGTTTGAGCCCCACATCGGGCTCTGTGCTGACAGCTCAGAGCCTGCAGCCTGCTTTGGATTCTGTGTCTCCCTCTCTCTCTCCCCCTCCCCCACTCGTGCTCTGTCTGTCTGTCTGTCTGTCTCTCTCTCTCTCTCTCTCAAAAGTACATGAACATTAAAAACGTAAAAAAAAAACTGGAAACAAATCCAATATTTATCAACTGGAGAATGGGTAAACAAGTTTTAGAATATCCATACATTGGAAAGTGTTTCAGCAATAACAAGGATACTAGTGATATTCACATCATGGCTGAATCTCGATAGCGTTGTATTAAGTAAAGGAAGCCAGAAACAAAATATCACACATTCTATAATTCTGTTCATTTGAAATTCTATGAAAGGAAAAAATAATCTAGTGATGGAAAGTAGATCAGCGATTGCCAGGGTTCAGTAGGTGGGAGGAGGAAATTGGCTGCAAAGGAGTAAATGAGAACTTGTTGGGATGAAGGAGATACTTGGTCTCGTGATTGTAGAAGCAATACTGTAACTATATACATTTGACAAAACTCATAAAATCAGACACTTTAAAAGGGCAGATTTTGCATGTTTAAAAAAAAGTATTGGGACTGTATTTTTACATACTCAGGATCTATCTTCCATGGGAAGTTTAATTTTCTCCCTAGTACCGATTCTGACAAAATGACAAGTGTGATCGCAGAAACGACAGCAGTATAAAACCCATTAAACATGACATAGAATGGAAACTGGGCTTATGCTTTGGCACAGGCACCAAAAGTCTCAGGAAACACGAAGATCTGCTTAAACTCAGTCCTCGGTGACTCCGTCACAGTAAAACCTCCTCCCACTGGAATTGCTAATGGACGGCGTGGCTTTAAATACACAGTTCCCAAGTCAGTTCTAAGTAAAGGCCGACTTCCTACTTGCTGACAGTACCTTATGGTATCAAAGTGCTTCCGCAAGAAGTTGTTTCCTCGTGCTATTTCACAGTTTTCTGTCTCTCTTCTGAGTCAGAGAAGGAGAAATAGCTCAGTTGTTGATATCTGAATGGATGAAAATGCGGCACAGAAATAACTTGTCTATATTGAGAGACAAATGAAGCTAAAAAGGCAATGATTTGACTAGTGATGGGATCAATGTACCCACAATACTTTTCGTTTCTTTTTTTTCTTTTTAATTGTTTTAAGGATGAAAAATTCAAACAGTATCCCTGAGAATTCAGGAGATGAGTGATATTCGTGGTATTTTTAAGCTCCTAGCTGCCATTTTTTTTTTCCTGTACCAGAGGTCATGGAATGCAAAGGGGGAAAAGGGGTGTTCTTGATTTTTCGTATATCCTCATCTACAGGAAGCTGGCAATTCCAAGCGGCTGGCAGTTTCCTAACAGTGTTTACAGCCAATTAGGATATTTGGACAGCAGCGCACACAAGATCTGACAGAGAGGATCTGGGTTGTGCCTGTTGCCAAACTCAGTGCCCACGGTCACCCTTCTCAGGCTGCTTCTCAGAGCTGTGTCCTAGCAACAGGTATTTTAGAGATAAGAATGTGTGTATGTGTATCTCTGTGTTGCGGAGGGGGCGGGGAGGTGTTGAAGGGAGAAAAGGGGACACCGGAAGGCAGTGAGTTCCTGTTTTCTCTATAGTACTCAGCCAGGTACATTCACCATATTTAGTAAGTCTGACAGCCCTATGTCAGAATTTGGTGGGAAATCTCTTTCACTTTCCCTTCTTGCATCCCAGTGTTCCTCCCACTGATTCCACCTCCAGCTGAGGCAAGTGCTTTGTGGAAAATGGATTGGCAAAGGAAAGGATGTATCAAGGCAAGAAGACCTCCTGGCCATTGCAGTGAACCGGGATCAACCAATAGTGATTATGGAGCTGTGAAAAAGTTGAAGATACAAGAACAATTCAGGAGGCAGAACTGAAAGGTCTTGGTGATTCAACTGGGTGTGTGAATTAGGCAAATAATTCTTGCCTGAGCAACTGACAGACAGCAACATTTTCATGTAGCTAGAAAAACAGAAAAAAGATGCTAGCCGAGTTGGGAGTGACAGGGAAGTAGAGCCAGGTAAGGGATACGTGTGAAATCCAACAGCAGTCTTCAACTGTGCAGCATACTTGTGGCCCCATGGTTTTTTGTTTGTTTATTTAATATTCTATGTGATGCCCTCCAGCCTTCTTTCTGTACACTTTCAGGCCCACTTGCTTCACTTCCTCCATCCACTAACACACTTATATTTAGCTTCTTTTAGTTCCTTGAATGTTCCTTGCCCTACCTCACATCTGTCACTTTGCAAATGTCTTCCTTGCTTCAGTGCTTTTCTCCCTCCTTCTAGTCCTCTTCCCATGGCTCACTCTTCAGTTTCCCACCTAGGCCATCGTTTTCCTTGGAAGACTTCTCTGTGCCATTCCCAACCTCCCCACGCCTACAGGAGGCAATGCTTTGAGCTACTTCTACTTCCTCCATCATAGTGCTTATCAAAGTATTGAAACTGGACCCTTAATTGTCTGTCTCCACCTCTCTATTGTAAGTTCTGCCAGACAGAAGCAATGTTTTCCTTGTCAATAAATGAGCCTAAAGAATCACAAGAAAAGTAAAATACATATTAGTAGAATTGAATATTTTAAAAAGGATCTATCAAACAAAAAACAAAAAACATACAAAGGAACCCATATTCTCAGCCTTTGTATTCATTATGACATATCTTCATTTATATAAATGTATGTTTCAATTATAATTTATAATAATAATTATATATATAATATAATTATATTTGGAGACTATATCTCTTATATATCTATTCATATTATTATATACATATATGCAGTTGTCTCCCCTTATCCACAGGGGATATGTTCTAAGACTCCCAGCCAATGCCTGAAACCATGGGTAGTACCAAACCCTACCTATACTATTTTTTTACTATATATATATATATATATATATATATATATATATACACTAGTATATATATATATAGTTTACTATAGTATACTATATATAGTATACTAGTATAGTATACTATATATACTATATATATAGTATACTAGTATAATGTAGTATATAGAGTATATATACAGTAAATATACTGTTTTTTTACTATATATAGTATATATACTATATATATACAGTATATATATGTATATGTATATATGTATATAGTATATATATAGTATATATATG